GGGGCACACATAATTTTTTTTTGTTTGTATCTGTTATTTCTCATGTCCACCTTGACTACACAATGAAGTATCAGGATAGGAGCAAGATCCTTTCAATATTCATGTTTAAAGTCAAGCTGAAACTTGCTGTTCTAATTCTGTTATGTTCCTTTCACTTTTAATCCGGGTCCCAGACTGGTGATTGGATTACCAGCCTAGATTTTAATCCACTACTTTAATATGTTTAATGGTCTAATTTCTGCCTTAATCATTGGTTATGCAGACTTGCCAACAATAACATTGCAAACAAATGTTTTAATCCACAATCATGATATGGTTTGAAATATCACTCAATATTTTCATTTATGTTCTTTACTTTTTGGGCTGCAATTCATCAATTTTGAGGGATAATGGACAGGAAGATGTGGAAAATGTACTGCTGTTCAGTTTGTCTTGTGGCTGACTTCCAAGTCCTTTGAGAATGTGGAAGGGATTGAGCAATTGATTGAAGCCAAGTACAAAAAGGGGACAAGAAATTAAGGATTGAGATTTCTGAAGCACCTTGCCCCTGGAGTCAGCTTACACTTTTTTTTCTTAAATTTCATGAACTATAGACAACCCTGGATTGTCAAAAGACAACATGATAACTCTTGATTTTTTTAAAAACCAATAGAACTGCAGATGCTGGAAATCCAGAAACACACTGCTGGAAACGCTCAGCAGGTCTGACAGCATCTGAAGTGAAATCTTAACTTTTTTTTTGGGTTGAGTGACCCTTCCTCAGAATTCACAACTCTGTTCCCCACACATCCTCTTCAACTGCTGCTAACAGCCTGCAGTTTCTGCCAGTCAGTCACGTGCAGGTATCCCAATGGTGAAGCTGTTCAGCACATTGCTGTTCACTCTGTCTTGGGATTATTGGGCTTTCAATTCCTCTTCCTTTGGATGAAGTTACCACTAACAGGACTCCATTGGGTTTCATTTAGAACGTCCTTTCCCTTTTTACAATTGATACGTAATGCAAAGGGGATAAAATAATATGCAATAAATTAGTTGGCAGTAGTCCTTGTAGAAATGAAGTTGGTTTGGATTTGTATTTAACACTTGGTACCTCCCAATTCTGGAGGGCTACAACATCATGACTGATTCATGCTATGATTTCATTTGCTAAATGGCTGGTAAATTCCAAGGCCCAGGACTAGGTGCTGAGGGATGCACTAAAGCTTGGGGCAGCTGCTGCAAAGGTGCAGTGGGGAAAGACCACTGTCTAGGCTCTTTCTGTCAAAGTATAATGAGGGTCTGATCAGTTGTCAGACCCTCAATGCCTCAAAATACACAGTTACCTGCATAAATAGGAAATGCTGCTTTCTCAACTATAGAAAAGATGTCCAAATTCCAATGCTTTACAGTCTCTGCAAAGACTGTACAGAAGATTTGGAATCCCTGTATGCACTTGGATCTTGTGAATAAAGTAGTAAATGAAAGCTTGGCTTGTTGGGGAAGGTTTTGAGGTGGGGGGGGGGGGGGGGGGGTAGAGATGTATTTGGACACCAAATGCCTCTTTAGGATGAGCTGTGCAGCAGACACTTTAGAGATGCATGTGCATCAGAGCAGCAAGAAATGTTGGTACTTGCTTCGACTATGACACCTTATGGAAGGATCAGCTTGCTGAGTCACTGGTTCAGCAGTATCATGTGAGGTTGTTGTTTCAGGAGTGCTTCCGCTGTGTTGTTTTTTTTTCTCCCCCTTTCCTTCACTTCGCTTGCTCCAATAAGTAAACATGCCTTTGCTCCAAATGCAGCCTAATCCCCAGAATCGGACTTTTGGAGTAACACTTGGCTGTTTCATTGACGTGTTCCTAGAGACATGTTTCTCAGGCTTCCTGTTCCCATTACCCACCCAATTTTTCCAGGATGTGGGTGTCACTGGGCCAGTGTTGAAATGTCTGTCTGACTCTTTGGAAAGTTGTTGTTCCCCCAACTCTGCAGTCTGTAGGATGTAGCTGGAGCCATAATGCTGGAGAAGGAGCTCCTAGATCCTAATCCCAGACTAATGATCAGAGTCTGGGATGGTGAGCAGCTATGGGATGATGTTCGTGTATCAGCTGCCCTTGTTGTATGAAGTGGTTTGTGGGTTTGGAAGGTGCTGTCTAAGGAGCGTTAATGAATTTCTGTAGTGCACTTTTTTATTTGGCTTTCTCGCATCAGAATTGTAATTGACTGGCCAAATGTTTTCTTCCTAATGTCAAGGATTCCTAATCTCTCGGCTATTTTTCCCCTGGGTGTTCCTCGTGGCAGGAACCTGATTTGAATATAGACCAATTGGGACCACCATTGGTTAAAAGGACCTGTTGCAGATGCCATCTTTCTTTTTGGAAATGAATGAGGGCCAAGCAGTGGACGTTGTCTATATGGACTCCAAGGATGTTTGCCAAGGTTCCTCATGGTAGACTGGTTAGTAAAATTAAATCACAGAATAGAGGGGCCGCTAGCCATTTGGATACAGAATGGCTCAAAGGTAGAAAATAGAGGGTGGTGGAGGGTTGCTTTTCAGACTGGAGGCCTGTGACCAGCAGTGTGCTACAAGGATCAGTGCTGGGTCCATTAATTTATGTAAATAACTTTGTGAACATAGGAATGGTTAGTAAGTCTACAGATGACACTAAAATTGGAGATGTAGTGGACAGTGAAGAAGGTTACCTCATTACAATAGGATCTTGATCAAATGGGTCAATGGGCTGAGGAGTGGCAGATGGAGTTTAATTTAGATAAATGTGATATGCTGTATTTTGGAAAGGCAAATCGGGGCAGGACTTACACTTAATGGTAAGGTCTTAAAGTGTTGCTGAACAAACAGACCTTGGAGTGCAGGTTCATAGTTCCTTGAAAGTGGAGTTGCAGGTAGACAGGGTAGTGAAGAAGGCATTTGGTTGGCTTGCCTCTATTGAAGTTATGTTGCAGCTGTTCAGGACTTCAGTTCGGCCACTTTTGGAATACTGTGAGCAATTCCGGTTTCCCAGCTATAGGAAGGATGTTGTGAAACTAGAAAGGGTTCAGAAAAGATTTACAAGGACGTTGCCAGGGTTGGAGGGTTTGAGCTACAGGGATAGGCTGGGGCTATTTTCCCTGGAGGCTGAGGGGTGACCTTAGTTGATAAAATCATGAGGGGCATGGATAGGGTGAATGGCCAAGGTCTTTTCTCTGGGGTGGGGGAGTCCAAAACTAGAGGGCATAGGTTTAATTGGGGGAGAGGGAGACAGAAGATATAAAAGGGATTTAAGGGGCAACCTTTTCATGCAGTGGGTGATGTGTATGAATGAGCTGCCAGAGCAAATGGGTGGAGGCTGGTACAATTACAACATTTAAAAAGATGGGTACATGACTGGGGAGAGTTGAGGGATATGGGCCAAATGCTGACAAATTGGACTAGATTAATTTAGAATATGTGGTCAGCATGGATGAGTTGGACACAAGGGTCTGTTTTCCGAGCTGTACAGCTCTGACTCTAACACTTTTAGTTTCAGAATTCTGGAGCTGTGTAAAATGGCAGCTTCCTGGTGTATTCTCCTTATGAAATGAGAATGTGGCTTGGTAGGGATTCCCTGTGATCACAGCCTAAATTTTTTTTATCAACCTGTTTGGCGATGTTATTACCCATCCTACTGGAGCAGTTGGCACTTTGAATTTGCCTCCGAGGTAGGACACCACCAGTGGATCTCGAGCCCTGTAAACACAGCTGGATATTTGTATGTCTGAGTTCCTCATTTTAATCTGTGGAGTAATTTTTATTTTTACACCAAGTGACCTGGAACTTTGATTACTGTGTGCTCAGTGATTACTGCAGCAGCTACTTGAAATTTTCCCTCTTTTGTGTTGAAGCCATTTTAGTACGTACATGTCCTAGTCATTAAATTTGGACACCTCCAAGTTGGTCCTTTTTAAGCAGGGCTCACTGCTAAATCTTCACCTTTAGTGGGTGAGCGTATAACTAGGAGGGGGAAGGTTAGAGGTTTGGAGTTGGGTGGAGAATCTGATTTGGAGATGTGTACTGGAGCCAATGATATTGAGAGCTCAACAGGGTGGAGGGTGAGCTAAGATGGGTATCCTTGAGTACTTCTAATTTGTTTAGGGGATAATGACACAGCTCTAGCAATTTTGATGTAAAACCAAAATTCCAGAATCAGCTGCAAGTACAAGATAGCCTAAAAATCACCAGGGTCTATCTTTTTAAAGACTGATTTCCCCACAAAATGGGGTGAGCTGTATTGTGAAGGGAACTGGAGACTGTTCTAATCCTCCATCCCAACAGGTGACCTGCTCATTCCAAGAACTGGAACCACGAGCTTGTTGAACATCTTGTCCTTTGTAGACCCATCAACCAATATGACTGAAATCCCTTTGTCTTTTTTAAAAATTCCAGTGTGGCTCTGTCCATCCCTAATTGTTCTTGACGTGAGTGTCTTTGCTGTATGCTATTCAGTTGTGAATCAACTCTAGACCCACAGCAAGGTGGTTGAATGTCCACCAGACTGGATGAAAAATGGCAGCTGTCCTTTCCTAAAGGACATCAGTGAACCAGCTGCATCTCCATGACTACAACTGATCAGACTCCGTGGTGACAGTGACTAATTGATTCTGGAGTTTTTTTTAACTAGTTAAAAAACACCAATTGCCATGCTGGGATTTGAACCCATAATCCCTAAAGCATGAGCCTGGACCTATGGAAAACTAGTGATGTTACCACTACCCCACCTTTGCTCAGACCTGGTCCACTTAAATGGCTTTAACCAATAAAACTCCTAAATTCCTACACCCTATTATCTTGTTGCTAGAGTTACTGCCTACGAGCTTAAGTGTCATGTTAAAATTCTTGCCCATTAATTTCTTTATGGTCTCTAAACACAATTTTTCATCCTTTCCATTTTGAGGGTGTGCAGTATTTTGAGCAGTATCAGCTCGAACCAAGGGAGGCTTATTATTCAGAGTGAATCTGTTGACGTGCCATATTAATTCTCTCTGCAGTTTCCAAGAAGCCAGTTGCTGCTGTGGCCAAGGTACCTGTTTCGAGACCAGAGAGACCCCTCCAGAGCAAGCCAGCCAGGTAACAGTATGTGGATGTGCCTGGGATACATTGCCACTTCAAAATAATTCATCTTGTTCTTCTGATCTCCCCAGTTGTTAGGTACTGACACCTGGAATAAGTTCTGGTTTTGGTATCAAAGCCAACCTCTGCTATTTCACCTCCACACCAACCCCTCGAAGACTGTCCAACTAGTATTTTTGTTCTGCTACTCCTTAGTTTTCCAATGTGGATCATTCTACCTTTGATTGGGCTGCACACACTAGGAAGTGAGATTTGTACATCTCTTGTTCATCCCCTAATATGCCAATTGAATAGTTTTTTCATCTGTAGTGAACAGACGTGGGGTGATGGGTGGGTAGGGGGGGTAGTTGTACTCCAAATGTGGGTTTAACCATGGAGTTAGTTGGCAATGGCTTATGATCCCTCATCACCTAAACTAGGATATTGGAATGAGGTGTTGAAGCATTTGGTGATTGGCTATACATAGCCAATGTATACAAATGTTGCAATTCCCAGGCCCATGTACGGGTATGGGCTAGGATCAGGTTCCCCCATGACAGCCAAAGAGCACGTTTCCATCAGCATATCATGCTTCAAGTGGTTCCTAATGAGATGGAAGGTGAGACCTATAAACCCTCAGGTCACATGTATTGCAAACTGATTACTTTCCAGTAGAATGTAGCACTGCTTGCTACTTCAGTTGCAATGCAATTACCTCTTCACCAACAAGCATCTTGTCACAAGACCATTCACAAGGCACATTATGGTGACCTGTGATCTTGGCCTCTTCACAGACCTCCTGAGTCTGACTTGGGTGTGCTCGCTCTGTAAAATGGAGTTGAGGTCAGATCATGAACAGCTTTTCTCCAAAGCAGTAGCAGGCTTGATGCAAATGGTCTATTCCTCGTTCCAGCATCTTGGCTGTCTGGTAGCCATGTTTACATTTTTTGAACTTGGATTTGTCTTTAATTCTCAACATTTGACTAAACCAACTAATTTCTAGGTCTCTTTCCTCTTGGAGCTGCTCACAGAAATCACAAGGATCCAAGAATGTTGGCAAGAAACAATTTCTGTATCCAGCTTTGGAGCTGTTGTAGATTTTAACTGATCAGTGGCTCCGTAATAGTGTTCCATGACCAGGTTGATGACTAAGAGCTCACTGAAAGCAACAGGAGACAACCATGGGTTATCTGTTGGGTAATGATGGTTCAGTGACCTTTTGAGGCCTGTTGTTTTTACTGTCTTTGCTTTAGGCTCAAAGTTCCTTTCTAACAAGGAATGGACAGATCAGTCTAAAACTCATTGTAAAAGTCTCACTCAAAATCAACTTTTGCTGGGTTTGTGGCTGAGAAGTTTAACCTTGAATCAGTGTAGAATATTGAATGACCAGTGTTTGCTTGGGTGGGGGCTGTGGTGAAGGTTACCTGTGAGGACCCTAGTTCAGAAAGCTTGTTCTCCCCTCAGCTTTTTGGGGGGTGGAGGAGGGAAAGAAAGAGAAGCTAGTGACTACAATCCCAATCCTTTAGCATTGCTCCTTGCTGCCCTGTACTAACCCAGCTTGTATCCTTCTCAATCTTGCTCTGCCTCCAACACTTTTCTTGCTTGCTGTTTTTAATGGCTAATGTTTTTGTGAGCCACCCTCTCCCTCCTGAGGGTGGTATGTATCCTGTTATAGTTGACTAGTCTGTAGACTGATGGGTTTTGTCCTAAAACTGAAGCTTTCTTTGGGGTAGCATGGTGGCTCAGCGGTTAGCACTGCTGCCTCAGCACCAGGGACCTGGGTTCGATTCCACCCTCGGGCGACTGTCTGTGTGGAGTTTGCACATGCTTCCCCATGTCTGCATGGGTTTCCTCCCACAGCCCAAAGATGTGCAGATTAGGGTGGATTGGCCATGCTAAATTGCCCTGTAGTATTCAGGGATGTGCAGGTTTTGTGGATTAGCCATGGGGAATGCAGAGATAGTGGATGTGTTGGTCTTGGTGGGGTGCTGTTCAGAAAGTTGTTGCACACTCAATGGGCTGAACACCCTCTCCTGTACTGTAGGAGTTCTATGACTTACAACAGAGCATTTCTGCTGTTGATTGTGTGCTTTAAGAAGCAAACCAAGTGAGCAAATTGCCCATTGCCACCACCACCACTCCGCCCCGGTCCCCTGGGCTTTTGGAAGGTGCTCAAACAAAGTTGTACCCATGATGTAGGAGCAGGAGGCAAAATAGAACCGAGGGCAGGCTTCTCACTATGTCAGTGTTGTTCTAGTATCTGGTAACCAGCCTCTTCCAGGGACTCATCCACTTGGAAGGATTTGATAAAGCTGCCTAATGTTAACCCTTTTAGGAGCACAGAACATGCCTTTGCCCAGTCTTCCTCTCTCTGTTCTTCTGACTTGTGCTGACTGCTGTGATCCTAATGGATCTAAATGTTGAGTTTATTACTAATTGAGGAGGCTTGGGACAGTCTGAGTAATAGTCTAGTTGGGCCTCTTACATTGGAGTGAGTGAGTACCATTTTAGAGACAATTTGTATTTGGAAGCTATTGCCTGAGGGAGTGGAAGATATCCAATTGTCACTTCCTTATAGACGAGGTTTGTATGGATAGGCTGGGACTTTTTTTCATTGGAAGGTAAGCATTTGAGGGGTGACCTTTTATAGAGGTTTTATAAAAGAGGGGAATTTGGATAAGGTGCATGGCAGGTGTCTTTCCCTTGGGATTTCAAGACTGGAGGCATATTTAAGGTGAGAGGAGAGATTTTTCACAATATGAAGGGCACGTTTTTTACACATGGATCGTGTGGGATGAGCTTTCAGAGGAAGTGGGTACAATTACAATATTCAAAGACATTTGGACAAGTACATGAATAAGAAATGTTTGGAGGGACATGGGTCAAGAACGGGCAGATGGGATTAATTTTGTTTGGGGTTATAGTGAGCATGGACTAGTTGGACAGAAGGGCCTGTTTCTATGCTGTATGACCGTGAGTCGGATCTCAACCTCTTTAAAGCATGGAGTCCAATTTGAGACTCTTGGTCTTGGAATTCTCTAGCTCCGTAAGGCTAGTTCATGGCACTTCTTCTTCAGTGCCTCTCTATTTGGGGTAGAAGTAAAGGCAAACTAAGTGGGAGTTCTGATCATAATCAGATCTAATTGGATGGCAGAGGAAACTGGAGGGGCTGGACAACCTCCCCTCTCGGGTAGCTTTTTGTATTCTGTAGGTCACTGGTCATGACTTCAACATCTCTTCTCGACTGTCTTTTTCACCAATTCCTTTTCCTTAAATGCTCACAGGAAATATTTTTATCTGAGGAATTGTCAGAGTTCTGTATCCAGTAACATCTTTAAATCTGAGGTGAACTGACATTATCTCTCTGCATATGCTACCAGAGTTCCTCCAGTGTTTTGTCCAAATTTAAACAATGTTTCATTGCAATATCACTTTCTCATTAGATGGTATCAGACCGGAGTTTCTCCAGCCTTGTGAACAGGAGTGGGCCATTCAGCCCCTCAAACCTCCACCTTTCAATGTGATCATGGCTGACGTGACCTAACTCCATTTGGGCCCATGTCCCTTGAGTTACACCTGGCACACAAGGTGGTTGTTGAGGTCTGTCATCTCAGGTCCAGGATACATCTCTACAGGACTTCCTCTGGGTAGTGTCCTAGGCCCAACCATCTTCTGCTTCATCAATGATCTTTCCTCTATAATAAGGTCAGATGTGGGGATGTTCACTGTGCAATGTTCAGCACCATTCGCGACTCCTCTCAAACCTGAAGCAGTCCATGTCCAGTTCTCATTGCATTTGAACAATACCCAGGCTTGGGCTGACCAGTGGCAAGAAATATTCACACCTCACAAATGCCAGGCAATGGCCATCACCAATAACAAACAATCTAACTTCTAGCCCTTTGACATTCAATGGTGTTACCATCACTGAATCCCCCCACTATCAACATCCTGGGGGTTACCATTAACGAGAAACTCAATTGGACCAGCCACATAAACCCAGTGGCTACAAGGGAAGGTCAGAGGCCAGGAATCCTGTAGTGAATAACTCACCTCCTAACTCCCCAAAGCCTGGCCACTATCAACGAGGCACAAGTCAGGAGTGTGATGGAATACTCCCCACTTGCCTGGATGGGGGCAGCTCCAACAACATTCAAGATAAAGCAGCCCGCTTGATTGGAACCACATCCACACCCTCCACCACCGATGCTCAGTAGCAGCAGTGTGTGCTATATACAAGATGCACTGCAGAAACTCACCAAAGATTCTAGGATAGCACCTTCCAAATCAGCACTGCTACCACTACCATCTGGAAGGACAAGGGCAGCAGGTACGTGGGAGCACCACCCCCTACAAGTTCCCCTCTGAGCCACTCACCATCCTGACTAGGAAACATTATATTGCCGTTCCTTCACTGTCACTGGGCCCAAATCCTGGAATGCCCCCAAGTGCATTGTGGGTGAACCCACAGTACATGGACTGCAGTGGTTCAAGAAGGCAGCTTGCCACTCCCCTGAGGGCAACTACAGACAAGCAAATGCTGGGCTGGCTAGCCAGCATGTCCATATCCCACAATTGAATGAACAAAACCACCTTTTTAAAGATTTAAGCACATGCATCTCTATCTTGTTGGGCATCCACTGTGTGTATTTAACTTTGCCTTCATTCTTTGAAATGACAAAAAATCCACGATCTATCTTTTTTGGTCCAAAATGGATAACCTAACATCCTGCCTGCCTACAGCTTTGTCCATTCATCTAATCTATCAACATCTAATTCTAACTTTGTCAATAGTCTGTAATCCTGCCCAATTTTGTCATCAAATTTTGATGTTGGACATTTTGTATTGTAGTGTTTTGCTTCTACTGTAAATTCAGCTGCTTGAAACGCAAGCCATTTATTGCACGTTGCCCCTATATTTAGGATGTGATGTTGGTCTGGAGTCTGCAGTTCAGGTTTGTGACTGTCTGGGTAACAGCTACAGTAGTTTCTGAGCTAAGAAATGGCACCATCTGCTGGCTTCATGAGAAATGGCAGCCCAGAACTGTCCAGCAGCTTGAAGCTCCCCCAACTCGAATATTGTTAGATCACAAGAAATAAGAACAAGAGTGGGCCATTTGACCCCCTCAGGTCTACTCTGCCATTTAGTAGGATCATGACTGATCTGACACTCCTTGGTCCAATTTCCTTGTCACCCTCGCTTTCACCAACTGGTCATGAATCATCCCCACCTTTTATAAACTTGCCTAGAATTCCAAGGCAAGTCTTTTACTTGGGAACAATATTAACTCATGGGATGGGTAGCACAAGCCAGTAACTTTCTTGCATTAATGGCCACTAGGTGTTGCTGAAATTACAATAGATGCTGTCTGTTTCGCTAAGTAAAATATACTTTTTGCAGTCTAACTTGCTTTGCATTCAAACATGGCTGAAGGGTGTATATGGGATTTTATAACCGTGTCTTTTAGCAATCTCCCGATTTTTCTTTTAAAGACCAGATGCCACTACTTCAAGCCACTTGACCCAGAGTACGGGATCACTGAGGAGACAGCCAGTACCTGTCAGCACAGGAGCACCAAGGAAACAGCCGCTACCGAGAGTTCCTCGTGACCGATCCCATCCAGCTCAATCAGGTGTCCTGTCAACAAAACCTCAAACAGGAAAACCTGTCACCTCTTTGAACAAAGGTGGGGGAGAGGAAGAACTAAGTGCTTGAAAATTAAGAACTTTTAGCACTAGCCATGCAGCTATATTTTGTGTGCTGGTGGGCTCTTGAGTTGAAATCTTTGAATTCCCTTTTGAACTGCAAATCTGAAGTGGGAAAATTGGGAACAGTTTGTGCAATTTTGGCACTTAAGAATTTTGATCAGACTCTACCCCACTCCAGTGAATTTTTCTTTTTCCTTTTCCTTTTAAATTTTATTTAAAAATTTCTCCACCCCTCAGATGAGAGCTGAGTTTCTCCATGTCTCTAACATCCTTTTTCTGTGTAACACTAGCAAATGCAACATTTTTATTTTCCTTTAAAGTCACAGTTGAAAGGTTTTCCTGTCCCTTGCAATGTCCAGGGACACACCACCTGTATGTCTCAGGAAAATCTGAGATTAGAGAAGGTTTTTCTGTACATGTACAGTTTCTCCCACCTCTCCCCTTTTTTTGATTGCAGTATGGTTCAGCTATTGTGTACAGACTTGGATGGGATACAGCTGAGATTGCTCTGAATGGTACTGGGACTAAATGAATTCAGTTTCTATATTCCAGTAACACAACACTTTATTAACTGGCATCTAGTAGGGCTAAATGTGCCAGTTGATCAAAAATTCTAGTTGATAGAGGCTTCTGCAGTCCATGTGGAAACAAAGTAATGGAAATGTAATGCAGGAGGTATACACATCACTGTGTAAAGCTGGATGAACATAGCAGGCCAAACAGCATCAGAGGAGCAGGAAAGCTGAAGAAGGGTCCAGACCCAAAACGTCAGCCTTCCTGCTCCTCTGATGCTGCTTGACCTGCTGTGTTCATCCAGCTCTACACCTTGTTATCTCAAGTTCTCCAGCATTGGCAGTTCCTACTATCTCTACACATCACTGTGCTCTGTTTATGGGATCAATCACAATGTAACTTTCCAGCAAGTTCTATTTAAGACAAGAAGTCTTCTCACTCATGCCCTCAACTGACTACTCAGACATTGCACTTAAATAGAAAACATCACAGTATTTGAGGTATAATAATATCTCTTGGCTTATTGAGGGTGTCAGTTAAGATTAATGTGCTGAAGCATTTGATGTGGAAGGCCTGACTCCAATCCTTGGGGTATTGGAACCAGATTTGGGACGAGGTATCTGTTCAAATTGAATGGTCCCAGTGCTGTTCTGGCTCACCCCACTGTGAAGAAATGCTCAACGTGTTCTAGGAAATTTGAGTCAATTGGCATGCATTTTAAGGTGGGTGGGCAGGGAAGTTTGATGACGATGAGCAAGTTTCTTGTACAGTAGTAGGAGTCTGGAACACACTGCCAGGGTAGTGGTGGAGGCAGATATGATAGGGGTATTTGAGGGACTTTTAGATAAGCACATGAATGTGCAAGGAATAGAGGTATATGGACCAAGTTCAATTTGGTGTCATGTTCAGCACAACATTATGGGCCAAATGGCCTGTTCCTGTGCTGTACAGTTTTACTTTCTATAGTTAAAGTACAACAAAGAAGACATTGGAATAATTTAACTGTATTGGGAAATCTTGAGAATAATTTATTAACTAGTTAACCATTCCAATGTAGTAACATCCATAAACACTTGGCAAAAGGCAAATTTCAGAACTCTCATGCAGCCCCACCTTTTTTTTAGCTGTAACCACGAGACCAGTGAAAATAGCTTCTGCTTCTACTTCAACACCCCCAGCAGCAACTGCTGAAAGCTAAAGCTTCAAAAGCCTAGTTCTGTGGGAGCTTGACCACATCCATTCAGGCTGCTTCTATTGTTCTAGCATTTTTTTAAGGGAAAAACTCCAGGACACTACAAGCTGTTTACATGTTTTCAGTAAACAGCTTGCACCTCTGCCTTAAAACCTCCCCCAAAAAATGACAAAATACCTCTCAATGCCACAGTGTAGTCACAAACTTAAAGCAGAAACAATGAGAGAATATCATACCAATAACACATGTTAAACTCTTCAGATTTGGGTTCCTGTGGTGCAGTGGCAGTGTCCCTACCTCTGAGCCAGGAGACCTGTGTCCAAGCTCTACCTGCTGCAGAGGCATCCATGTACATGTTGACTAAGCAATCTCAAGATTGGGGAGGGGGAACTAACTGGGGTGGGAATATTGGTTAGGGAGATGGTCTTGTAAAGACAAAATGCTGGCTGAGGGTAGGGAGCATGAAGTTTGGTCCCAGCTGGTTAGTGTTGAGGAAGGAAAGGTACAATACTAAGTGTATTCTACAGACCTCAATAGTGAAGAATTTAAATGCTTTGCAGTGCAGAGTGTTGGAATAAAAAGTGAAGAGCTGAGAAATGTTTGTTTTTAAGTATATTGTAGACAAAGTGCCTGTCGGGTGATCTTTCAGGCAAGAGTAAAGGTGAACTTCAGTCTGTTCTTTTCCTGGGATGGGGACATCACTGATTTGGCTGTGATTTTATTGCCTATCCCTAGTCATGCATCTCCTGATGCCTGGTTTCTATTAGATCCAAATTCCAGTATCTGCCATTAGCAGGATTCAAACTTGGGTTCCCCAGAACTTTCAGCTGGGTCTTGGGATTGATTAATCTTGTGATTGTTACCAGTTATGCACTCCCTCCCCCAGATGGGGGTGGTGGGGGGAGTAAGGAATATTGGCTGGGGTCAAATGGAGAGACTGATGATTGTTAAATCCTTACTAAGGTGAAAGTTGAATGGGACTCCCTTTTGATGAGGGAGATGGTGGTTTGAGGGGAAAATGAGCACTGATTAAAAGGTGCAGTGGGCCTTGCGAGGGATGGGTTGATCTGGTTGAGGGAAGCAGAACAAAGCACATTCTTTCCAAAGGAAGAAACATCAGGAACAGCAATACAAAACTGTGGCTGTGGGAGTGACTAGAAAGGCAGCCTGGAATTGGAGTCTATGAAACCCTGGTCTGTACAGGATGCTGGAGGAAGTCAGGTTTGAGAGGGGTTGGGTTATGCAAAGTCTCTTTCAGTTTTGGGGAGGTGGTAGAGGATTACAGTAGCATTCCTTGTCAGGGAGGCTAGACCTAGTAACTAGTGGGTAGCTTTTTGAAGTCTGTACCTGGAGGAGGAAGAAAATGAACTAGTGACTGGAGAGGTTTAGGTAGTGGGTCAACAGTATTTGCTTAAAGTTGAGGGTTTAGTGGGTTACAGAAGACCGAAAGGACAGCAGTAGATAATGGTCATATGGATTTTGAAACATGGCCAAGAAAATGAGTCTTAAAAATTCCCCTCTGAATTAAAAATGAGGATCCATATCCAATTATATAAAAGACTTAATGACCAAAGTGGAGAGTCATGATGGATTCCTGTTTACAGACTTTGCTTTCCCCAAAGATCAGCTTTAGAACAACCTTTGGGAATTTATATATTGATCACTGTGGAAGTTGTTTAACTTGTATCAAAGGGACAGTGAAGATGTGAATCTTCAGCAAGAGGATGGGTATAGACAAGTGGAATGAGAAGACAAGTGATGAATGGAGTGTGTTAAAACATTTTGTGGTCAAAATTGGGAGTGGCGTTAAGGTCTTAATGACCCCGGTTTAGAAGGTTAGAGGGATGGGAAGTTCAGCTGTGCATGGATTTGAGTTTGCAGGACAGTGGTTAGTAAAGCAAATGGGATTTTTAAAAATAAAGTTGGGCATTTCCGTCCAAAACCAGGAGTATTATGCTGCATCACTAAGTTCTGGTCAGCCCCCTTGCATTTTTGCATCCAGTTCTGGTCTCCTAATGGATGCATCTAGGATGAGGATTTTATTCCAGATGGGAGAAGGTGGGCTTGTTCTCCTTAGCAAAGGAAGTTTGAGGTGAGATTGGTGTTCAGATGGTTTTGGATAAAGTAGACCAAAAGAAACACTTCCTCTTGGCTATCGCAAACTGGGATTGGGGACTGAGATGGTGGAATGAGGAATTTTGAGTGCCTTGAACAGCAAAAGTGGTGTAAGCAGAAACTGACTTCAAGAAAAACATTCAGTCACTTGAAAAACATATTGCAAGGTTGGGGTGGGGGGGGGTTACTTGATGACTCCAAAGGAGCTAGCATAATTTTGATGGACAAACAAACATCTATGCCCTACGTGATGCTTAAAGGAATTGATATTTCTCTCCAATCTCCTCTGGAAATCCCTGAACAAGAGGAAATGTTAGTTTTAGAATGGGGCTGTTCAAGAAGTGTTTGTATGAAGTGCTTCTACAAAGGGTTGTGGAAATCCAAAATACCCACCTTTTTTGAAGCTGACCAATATTTAAGGTGATCCCTGCTCACTTGTTCAAGTACTGGATAATGATGGAAAGAGCTGTAATGGTTTTTTCCCTCCACTTACTGTTACCACTTTCTCTTCCAGATGTTAAGTCAGCCACTTCACTGACAACCCGCTCCAGCTCTGAACTCAAAGTCACCCGAGCAGTGAAGTCAACAAAACCGATGTCTGCAAAACCCTCAGAAGCAGAGGGGAAGACCTTAAATGCAAGAGTGAAGGGTCAACTGCCTAAAGTGTCTACCAGATCCACTGCAAGACCACAGCCAGGTAACACCACTTCAAAGATGTCTGCAGGAAATGTTCCCAAACAATCGACTAAACCTTTGAAGAGAAATGTTGAGAAGCAATCCTTGCCAAATAAGATTCTGTCATCCTCTGCCAGGAAGCCTATTTCTGAAAACTACGTTGATGAGGAAATGAGGGCTGTAGGGCAGGCAGGAGCTCTGCCAAAAATGCCAGCTAAGGTAGAGTGTGCAGTGGTCAATGAGGAAATGAGTGCAATACTGTCCAGTGAAGATGTGACAGTGATTCCTCAGGGGCACCTAAAGATCGAAGAATTTCCATCTCCCCAGCAAATGCAGTCAGCCCCTTGCCTTAGCAACACTGAAATTATCTTGATCTCAGCTGAAGAAGTAAAGATGGAGGATGAAAAGGTAGAAGCAAACTCTTGGATGAGAGCAAACACAGTAGCAGAAGCTGAAAAGGAAGATTCAACAGAAGCTATTATTGACTTGGATGAAGGAAACGAGGGTCTGAGTGACCAAATGACAGAAGCTGATTTAAACTTTCATCAAAAAAATGAAGAGCAAAGCCTTGGCACTCCTGATTCATTCAAAATGCCTGTCAAAGTGGACTCGAGCAAAACTGAAGCTGAACAGTTTAATGATGAGGCCAATACTCCCATTAATGGGAAAACTGATTTGAACAACTTGCAAGTACAGCATTTGCTTCCTGAATCTGGTTCACCAACTTCAGGAAAGGCCATGTCTCAGAGTTCAACTGAGGATGGGTCCCCAATGGAAGATGGATCAGCCAACATCAATGGCAGTGCTGCCCCTGTGCCAACGCTGCAGGATCTGGCACCTCGTGCAGGGCCACCTTCAGAATGTTGTCTTGATGACAGTTCTCCTGAGATGGACAGTCATCTATCTAATGTAGAGAAAGTAAAGCTTGGCTTGTATGAGTATTCTGAAGAGGCAGATACAGAAGAATCTCCTAATGAGCTTTGCCCTGAAACTCTTCAAAGTGAAGTCAACCAAGATCACCTCTTTGAATCTCCAAACCTACTGGAGACCAGACAAACCAGACAGGTGGAGGGTTCTGTCCTGCTATTAGAGCAGAAGCTGGGAATTTCAGAGGAGTCACATGAAGACCAGGGTGTTTCCAAGTCAAGTACACTGAGTGGTCCTGACTTGGCAGGAAAAAGTAGCAGTACCACCAGTACTCCTGAGGAGCTGAAGGACTATGACAGCAGTTCAGGAGTAGAATCAAAGTCTGAGAAACTAGAATCTGGGGACCTTTGTGTTCCTCAGACTATACTGAGCCCACTAGATGATCTGGATCAGGATTTGGGGATTCACTTGGAAAGGGTTGATGAAGAGCCAGATACATTTGCAGCAGATGATCTACATGGTGATCGCTCAACAGAGCCCATGGTGTCTTCGGAGGATGAAGACCACTTGGAGGCTGACTGTGAAAGAGTGAATGAGTCTGGCCAATGTGGTTTGGAAGGAATTGACAATCCAGTATTTGAGGACAAAACCACAATGGACTCTAAATTGGAAGCACCGAACCACGCTGCTTCCTCAGGCTCCTTCAAACACTTGACTCTTCATGCTGTGGATGAGAGTGAAGAACTTACAACAGCTGAGGCTCCTCATTCCCTTGCTTCTCAAAACTGCATGCAGTTGGCTGTTGGATCTTCAACAGAAGTTTCCCCTTGTGGCCAAAGAGCAGGCCTTGCAATGGACCATCAGTCTTGTGGAGCTGAAGTAAGCCTTTGTCTTGAGAATAGTCTTCCTCAGAATGTGGGAGATGCTATTGTTCCTGAAGTGACTTTCTCACCTGTCAAAGACAGTGACCTGGCAGAAACAAAATTGGAGTCTGATCAATCCAAGTCTTGTGATGTTGAGGAACCTGTTGCAAGATATCCAATGGACCACCTTGATGAGGGTGTGATTAATGTGCAGAAGCTGTCCACTCCTACCACTGATGCAAATGGCAATCACATGCTGCATCAGCAGCGGTACTACGCTGCTTGTGAAAAGAATGATAGGCTGTTGACAGGTAACGTATAGAACTTGGTTAAATGCAATTGTATCCAAAGGTAAGCTGACTAAATCATGAGGGTAAAGGATCAGTGAAATAGATGTTAATATCAGATGGGAAGCCTATGACTTGGACTGAATTCTGCACTGAGCTTGATTTGCATGCCTGTAAATTTTTTTTACCCTAATCAACAAATTCTGTATTATGCCACTAAATCATCTATTCCAGTAGTGAGGCTGAAATATGTTCAAAACTTTTCTCCTCTGGTAGTCACTTTTTTTTTTGGCATAACACTGGAATTGGCCATTTCAAAGAGGGCTTGTCCTCAAATTACTGCTGTCTGTGTTTTTTTTTGATTAGGTGCTGGGAAGGTGCAATTTGGTCTCTGACCTCACCCCTATCTCCCCAGTCAAGCCCATGTAATTGTAATGAACTGACACAATTGGCTGAGAAACCAGTTAGCATGTGTTCATAGATGCATCACTTGTAATAAATTTTAGCATTGAACTGCAATCTGGCTGTTTCTTTTTGTGAATGTAGTCTGGTAAAAGCAGCCCTTTGGACAACATTTTGAAACAGTTCCCTGCTTTTCATTCTGAAAATGTACAGTCTCTCAAGATCCTTCATTTCCTTTCAATCGGTCTACGATACTGCAATCATGACTTGGAACTTGTGTAACAGCTTGCTTGCATGTTCCCTCCAGTGGAGAGTTGTACAATTGTACTGTTGACCAGTTGAGGGCTTATTGGGTGATTTGGTCTCCAATTACTGGGGCAATGGTTCACCTATCAAATGAAAAGCATCTCTGCTGTTGTCTAAGTTACTGTTTTACAGTGGTGGTCTAGACTTGTATTGAACATTTTTCATCTGGGATAGATCTGTCTAACCTCTCTGTCACAGTAATTTCATATCTGTGTATTGACTTTAATTCATTTCAAATAAATTGTTTCTGAAGCAGTGGCCTTTCTAACAAACACCTTTTTCTATAAGACTGCTAGATTGGAAACAACCAGTGAGTAAAGTTGCTGTCATTCAACTAAAGTTACAAAATATTTTAGGCACTCTGATCTCTGGCAATCCCAGCCAAGCAACTGTTTGACTTGCATTTTTTTGTCTCATTTCACTTTTTGTCCCCTTTCTGACGCTACAATTGCTACTTGTGTGTGTATATACGGAACAAAAATGAAATGTATGTGAATTAATCAACTGTTGAAGCTTTGTGTCCTGCAAAGTAGTTCATACTCCAAAGATATGTAATGGATGTGGGCTTCATCATTTTAATTACTGTCTGCAGATTGAGACTGAAGTGTTGCCTGTACTTGGAATAAGACACACTTTCATGCTGCTTCTATAGTTTGCTTTGGTTGGTGGTTTTGAATTTTTGCTCCACCTAATCACACTAATTATAGTGAAGCAGAATTGGGTAAATTTGCAGGTGAGACAAGGTAAAACAGTCCTCTTGTGAAGTGAATGTGGAGAAATTGCCAATGGCCAACTATTGACAAGTTTAAGTGGGCAAAGACTTGGTGGATGTGGGGGAAAATGTGGTTCTGTTTCACAGGAAAGTCTGTGAAAGGTGACTGCAGAATTCCAAGACTTAGCTAGATGACTTCTGCAGAAGTCCATGTTTGAAGCCAGGTGCAACAAATAAATGAGAATGTGATGCTTCCAAAAAGACACAGGAATTAAAGGGATGTAAAATTACACAGGACACAGATCACACTTCCAACACCCTATAGTTCTAAGGAAGGATGTAAATTCACTGGTGATTCAGAGGTGGTTTCATTTTATTAGCCTGGAATGAGCAAGTTCTATGCAAATGGATTGGACAGACTGGACTTGTTTTCACTGGTGGTTAGAGTGAGGGGTGACTGTTCAAGGGTATAAGAACCTTGAATGGTCTTGACATGGTGGAAGTAGAAATGGAAATGCTTTACCTTGTGGGTCAATCCACAACTATCCAAACTTTTTTTCTAGAAAAGTGACCCCAAATTAAGATTTGATCAGAAATTGTTGTGACCTTTTGGAACTTTTTAGTCTTGTGGTGGAAGTTGGGTCATTGAATATTTAAGGTGGAAGTAAACCCCTGGGGAAGGAAAACTCATTGTTATCAAGATCAGTTAAGCATTGGAATGTATAACACCAAATCAAATCTCTACTCATTTCTAGTCCATCCATTCCCAAACAATAGGATCAATTATATTGTTGTGCAGGAATGCCTGTCATCTAGTTTATCACAAATGTGCTTGTGCTCACTGTCTACATCTTACTCTGTGCAAACAATTACATCCTTCTAAGTTGTAGATTTGCATGCACAAGGTGGATTTTTGCTGCTTGAACTATTCTCTCAATCTTCAAGTGCTGTCAACTGTTGCAGGCCTCTTGAGCGATCAAACACCACTACAGCCGCATGCTGGTGTACCATGGATATCACCACCGCTACCTCCTATCCTTTCCACCATCTATGAAGTAGAAACAGCAGAGGAGACCAGGTTGGATGATGACCTCGAGAAAGAGCAAAGTCAGAAACCGACAGGCTGGCGACATCCTGAACTCATCGAGGAGCCCAGTGAGAGGGTCTTGATGCTACAGATTGAACCGGTGAAGGTTGTGCAGCAGCTGATCAACCAGACGTTGCTGCTCTCTGGAGATGGTACGAAATTACAAAGTAAGGTGACAGTTGACCAAGCAGAGCTGAGCAAGTGGACAGGTCTTATATCACCACTAGATGACTCCACAGCCAGCATCACATCTGTCACCAGCTTTTCTCCTGAAGATATTTCCTCTTCCCAGGGTGAATGGACTGTAGTGGAGCTAGAGACTCATCACTAAATTTTTATTTTTCTTCTTGCTTGTACGTTCTAGCCTCAAAAGGTAGTGGTTCTAAGTCGGTTGGTAAAGTTAATTTTTTAAAAAAAAGTCATCTAGACTAGGGGCCACATGCCCTGGTGGGCTTTGTATGGATTTATCCAAGAGCACAATGGTGGTATGCTCTAAGTGCTCAACAATGTTTTCAAATTCCTACTTCCAGGTCCAAGACAATGCATTTTATGATGGGAACCAGCCTTGAAGTACTATTATCACTTTTTTTTTGTTCTTTTTATTTTAAAAAAAAAAAAAAAAAAAAAATTGTACTTCATGCATTCAACAGGTTTGGAGTTTTTCACAGTATAAAGGCTTTTGTCTGGATCTTCAACCTGACAAGAACTCTTGTTCCCTGAATTTGAATGTTGTGTTTGTGTATCTGCTCCAAAGCTGCCTAGATTTTAATGGTAATCTCCAATGATGTTTGTGTTCCAACTTGAGGGTTATTTGCTAAACTTGGGTGCAAATAACTTTTAATATTTTAGCTACAGTTTTTTAAAGCATTTTCTGACAGGTGATTTTGAACAAGGTGTAAGTTTGCAATGAAGATCTAATGCTGTGTATCTAATGTAGCTAGATAGTTCAAGATTTAGCTCTTTTTTTTTTTAAACAGCTGTCTTGGGCTCTTGGCTATGTGCCTAGCTTTGTCTAAGTTGCCTCTATCATTGTTTTATTTGTAAGTGGAAACGTTACTACCAACCAACCTTGAATTTTTGAAAAGGGAGGAACAAAATCTCTTAAGATGGAATTCTAGCAATTTAGGTTTGCTCTTGCAGCCCAAGTTCAGAATTTTCTCTGACCTCCTCACCCCACACTCCCCCCAAAAAAAACTGGAACGTGTAGAAGCCATGATGCAGACCTGAGGTCGTCTCCTCAAATGAAGAATGTTTTGTCTCTAGTGCATTGGTGCAATTATTTTTGCACATTTTCAAGGATCCCAGTGGATGAACTGTTACTTAAGTGTCCTTAGATGTGTAGTATGCAAAGATGCAGGGAACACTCTTTTTTTTGGAACAAAGCAACAATTTTTATACAGCCTTGTATTTGCAAGTAAACTGGGTATTCTATATTTGCTTTTTGTTTTAGTCTACAGTCCCTTGGCTTTAGGATCAACATGCTGATATACTGCCCATGACCCACAGATGTTGGCTTGCATAGGGTAATTTTGACTTTAAATCTGAAGGTCATACATTGAGCAGTAACTTTTAAAGACGGGACATCAGACTTTGAACACTTGCATCCTAACTGGAAATAAGCAATGTAAGTAAAAAGTGGTAAATGAATGCAACATCTTAGCTAGGATTTTCATCTAACTGGCATTAGCTGTTTAAAATTAGTAGTAATCTCTGGGATGAGAGCCACATGAGTCCTCTTTAAACTGACAGCAGGTGCATATTGTGTGCTGCACTACCTCCAGTTGTTTTTTTTAACTGCCAAAAATGCAAGATGTCCACTAAAGCAATCCAAGGTAATTAGACATGGACAATTCAACTTTTGGCCTTGCCAGTGATTTTAGTTTAGTTTTTTGCTTTGGTGGTTGTTCACTTTTTTGAAGTTGTTCATTCTTAACAATTTGTTTTGCATCCAGTTTACTGGTAAATCTTTATCCAGTGCTGATAACAAACAGTTTAACAACAAACTGGATTTTAGATTTTTCTGCCCAGGTCCAAAATGGACATTGCTTTCATACAGCATTCAATTAGCTATTTCTGTGGGGCACTGGTGTATATACTAGTTGTGCTTACCTGTAAAGCAATGGGTCAAGAACACACTTTCTGTGATAATTAAAATGCTTTAGGTTGCATTAATACCTACTTTGGGTACAGTTTGAAATTCTAGAATTTCAAGCCATATGTCAAATAGTCAATTTGTTGGATTGTGCCAGAACTGTAGAAAAGCTGTACAGAAATTTGGACATGTGCTCTATAAGCACATCAGGGTTAAGACTGTCCAAATGGTAAATGTTTTATTTTTTTAGTGGTATTTTTTAGGTTATGCTGACTTTAGTTTTGAATTTAAGTTGACCAATAATGTATTTAGCAGTCAGATCATTGTTTGGGCAAATCAAGACCTGAACCTATTTTTTTTGAGATCTGATGATACACTTAATGGAATTTTTGTTGATTTGTCTTACAGCTATGACAGCATTGCCTGAGTGCACTTTTTTGGGTCATTGAGCTTGCACTGGTTCATAAAGTTAACAAATTCATGTTTGCATGAGTGATTTTTCTGAAGCATTAAGTGTTTTGCTTTTGACATGCTAGAAGAAAATGCAAAGCTGAAGTACAACACTTCCTAACCAGGTTACATTTCTCTCTTGTGGAAAAAGTGCAGGATTGAGATTGAAGTCTTGAGTCTACAAACTAAATGTTGACTAAAGCATGAAATACATTTAAGACAGTGACTCAGCTTTAGCTGCTGCCAAATGGCCTTCCCCTGTATGATTTTCTTGTGAAGGTGTATACTGAATTAAAAAAAAGTACAAAAAATGTTGAGTCAATGTCTCTGATAGGAATAAATGAGTCTGACTTGTGGTTTGACTAGTTTATAAGTGATCTTGTTTTATTAAAAACTTCATAGTTGAAGCTTCCACTTTATGAATGCTTACTAGTTTTTTAAGCATGCTTTAATCTGGCTGCCTGTACTAGTACATGTTCCTTTTTACACATCCCTAAGCTCTTTTTATCACCAAGTCAGTTGTGAGGCATCTTAATACATTTTATATGGTACACTAGTGTACAGACTTGTTACTGCAGAAATCTGTATCTAGATACAATGTTCCCTTAATGCATTTAAAAGCTTGATCCAAGCCCTTCCCTACCAAATCAATTTCTCTACTCTAGTGACTAGTTTTTAAATATAAACCACTTTACTTTCAGCTGTGCCCTTTTTTGTGACTAAGTAAATAGACTCTGCCTTTTTGTTTGGGGAAGCTGGTCCTAATTAGCATCTAAGACCAGAAGGTGGTGTTTGTTGTTTTCCCTACTCCATAAGTCAATAGCTCTTCAGCAAATGGTCCTTCTTTGAAATTGGAACTTTGCCTGTGTGAATGGGTTAACTGGTAAAGGACTCTGAATTGAGTCCAGTTGGAACCACCTGGCAGTTAGATGTTGGGAGGTCCGTGTGACTCTGGATCTCTAAGTAAGAGGACTGTTTCAGTTTGGGGGGGCAAGTTCCTGCAAGGTCAGCTGATCTCTGACTCAAAAGGATGTCCACGAGGAGATCTGTAGCAGCAATCTGCGACGGTTCCTCAAACCCAATAGTGACAAGGAGCTCGTAGTCACCTCGAGGCTGCTTGTATAGAAACCTAAAATCCATAAATAGGTGACTTAGACAATGCTAGAACTCTCTCCATAAACAATCCCATATTGCAGACTGAATTATGAATTGATTTTTCACCAGCTGTTACAGCACCAGACCTGAGTCTTTTTACTTGCACAGAACCTCTTTATGGGGTAAGTATAGTCTTGTTTTTTAAAGGTTTTTTTTTCTTTAAAGCTTATAATTTAAGTTTTCCCTGCACATTAGCCATAACTTGGACAGTACCTCCTCTCTTCCTCCCTTCAAGAAGCAGGACGTAAAGGCTAATATTTTTTGGTTAGATACATACATACTTTGTTCAAGTTCAGCCCCTGTCCTTAGCTCACCACTGCAGAGTAATTTGTATGGAATTTACAACTGTTCAAAGTGGCACATGGTGACTCAATGCCTAGTACACCATATCTATCTCCACACAAAGAATCCAAAACATAATCTAATTCTATCACTACTTCATCTGAAATAGCAAAATGGCATTTGTTTTCTTTTTTAGAAACAGTGAACTACACCTCTTCCATGTTACAGTGCAGTGCTATGGTTATAAAGCATGTCTGTTTCTTGGCCTGAAATGAAGTGCTAATTTCCCCTCTCATTTCCTTCACTTGATTTCCTTTACTCAGCTTGGATGGTACAGATGAAGGCCATGACATGTAGAAGTGATCAATGATGAGAAAATTTAAATGCAGTTGTAATGAGGTGAATGGGCATTTTGGAGTGTTTCACTCCCTTCACCTCTCACTCTTTCCATTCCCTTGTTCAATAACAATCCACCATCTTACAGGTTTGTGACCTTATTTTCAGTGATTTGTAATCCAACAATAAAAATTCCTTCTGCTACAACTATGGGAGCTAATACAGTTTAACCTCCCATCTTTTCTTTTGGTGGAAGTCTGAGCTAGACTGAATAGGATTGGATATGGTACTTCTAAGTGTTCCTGTTTAACTTTTTTTCAGCCTTTTGTTTTATTTAACAAGCAATGCACAGTCTGACAAACTGTTACAGCATGGATGTTCAATAAAGAAAAATCTTTTTTGGCCTAAACTCCACAACACAAACAGCACCTTCACAACAGCCAAAGTTCTGCACTGCACGAATAGTATTGACATATCAGAAGCCACTAACTTAGACATAAGCAGTAGAATGGGGAAAGCTACAACTGATCAACATCTGGACAATGAGTAGACTGATTCCACTTAGGAGTAGAGGTATTGGACCACCAGCACCTTCAGTTTTCTGCTAAGCTACTCAGTATCCTGGTGCTGGGTTAAAATCCTGGAATTCCCTCTCCAATAGCATTATGGGTCAACCCACAGCAGGAGGACTGCAGTGGTTTAAGAAGGCAGCTTGCCACCACCTTCTCAAGGGCAACTAGGGATGGCCAAGAAATGTTGGCCAGCCACTGACACCCACATACCACAGAAAAAAAATTCCTGATTGCTAGTCTGTGTAAATTGAGGGTAAATGTATTTAGCAGCAGATCCTTGAGATGGAGTGCCTAGAGAAAGGATCTATTATTGAGAGACAATACAGTGGGGGTTGAGGGGCAGGGCAGAACAGAACAGAACCATTAACACAGACCAGTTAGGCTAAATAGCCTGTTTCTATGATCTAATTCATTCTATATCCTAGAAAGCTCAATAGCAGCAGTTACCAGCAAAGGAGATCTGGTTCCCTTGGAGATGGTTCTACCTGAATCCAGCGACCAATAGACCACAGGCGCCTGCTTTTGGCAGTTGTATTTTTGGAACTGGGCTGGCTATTGTCCATCACTTGATTAGCCTCCTTGAAACACAGGAAGTAACTGCACAATAATACAATGGGACAGGAGAAGTACTCTGAGGATCCATGTAGAAGTTGACAGTACAGCAGTAATGTAACTCAATTAGAAATGCTCAGAATAGGCAAACTATATAGTTATACATCTTCAAATAAACTAGCCTGTTTATTATGTTACAATGCAAGCTCCGGTCGTTTGAATACCTTGGAATGGTGGAATGGAACCACAGAATGGTTACAGCACTGAGATATATTGTTTGGTTCCTTGTGGCAGTGCTAGCTCTCTGAAAAGCAGCTTAGCTAGTCCTTTCCCCAAAGCTGCACATTTCTGCTTGTCTCTCTTCAGGTGCTCATTCAATTCCATTCCGAAAACCATATTTGAATCTGTCTCCACCACCTTTCAGTCAATGCCTTCCAGATCCTAACCACTTGCTGTGTCTTTTTTTTTAAAGAAAGGTCTTCCTATCACCTTTGGTTGCAGTGTCAATTGCGCTAAGTCTGTCCACTGGGAATAGATCCACCCTCTCGACTCTTACGTAGACCCTCTCAGAATTCTGAGCACCTTTATCAAGTCTCCTTTCAACATTTCTCCAAGGAGAACAATCCCAGCTTCTCCTGACTATCCACATATCATCATCCTGGAAATACACACAACCTTTATTCTCCACAGCCTCTCTAAATCAAATATATCAAATGCCTGTACTTACTATTCTGTACACAAATCTGTCCCATCGCCATAGGATGCTCCTTCAGTGAGGTCCACGTTCCACCGAATTTTCTTGAACAGCATGCTTGGCTCCTTTGCTGCTGTGTAAGGTACGGGCATGCAGTATCGAAAAGTAGAAACTCTAAACCAGTGCCCCAAACGGAACTCTCCTCTGTAGAAGTAGCAAATACTGGAGCGCCATAATTTAAGCCACCAAAAAGGAGAGGGGTGGGAAATTCGGGGATTGGAGTGATTGTAGGAAAATGATTAGAATCTTAGATTTTATTTGTTCATCTCACTGTCCCTGTCTGCAAGTAAAATCAAGTACACAATTAGCTTTTATCTACCCAATACCTGTCACCTGCTGACCCTATACATCAGAAAAAAATACCAAAACCTCCTAGGGGAAGTATCGATATACTAGAAGGGGACCAGGAATGAGGAATTTCACTTAGTGTGGAGAACCTAGGGCTATTCTCCGCCAATGATGGGCAAGGAGAAATTGCATTGCCGAAAATTCACAAAGTGTTTAACACAGTGAATAAGGAGAACCCATTCCCAATAGCAGGAGAACTGGAAGACATAGATTTAATGTGAATTAGTGAAATTATCAGAGGGGAGATGAGGATATTTTTCCACAGGGAACAATCTGTTGTGATCTGGAACTGGAAGAGGTGGAAGTAGATAGTAACGTTTGGGAGAATGGGATAAGTACTCCCATGTCATACAGGCAGCTGCTGTGATGGATTTGCATCACACTGAAGTTGAAACAACAGACGACTTGAGGATGAATTGTGGTCTCCATTATTTCTGATTGAGTTTGGCAAAGGAACTGCCAAAGTCAGACACTGATTCCCTTCTGTCGCTGTGGCCAAAACTGACCAGTTCAGGCTCAGAGTGCAGGACCATCAGACAGATCAGCGCAGGGCTATACCAGGGTCAATGCCAACACTCTGGTCCTGTCAAGTAGGTTGGCTGTTTGAAATGTTCGATTTCACGCATCAGGGTGTCTTCTTGGATTGTGGTTTCATTTTCCATTGGGCAGCTCATGATGGGGTTGGGTCAGGGTCCCCGTTACCTGCAGGGATCTGTCTCCTCCAGCGAGATGAAGCCAAAGGATGCATACATGAGGACCAGCTGCTCTAGACTTGAAGCCAGCTGCTGGGAGAACTGCAAAAGCTGAGAAAACACATTAAGGATCAGGCAGACAACAGAGAATAAAAAATCAGGAACTGCAGAGAGGACAGTCCACGGCACAAATAGCGACACAGTCCAACGTACGTGGGGATTTGTGTTGAAGTTTATGTCAACTTTCCTAACGAGTTAAAATACCAACATAAAACAAGGGTACAAATCAGAGGAGGAATAGGCAAAGGATTCTTATTGGTTTAATGTGCAAATTGAGGGGTATTTTGCATCACTGTTTACTGTGGAGAAGTATATGGAAGATAGAGAAATTGCGGAAATAAATAGTGACATCTTGAAAAATGTCCTTCTACAGGGGAGGTGGTGCTGGATGGTTTAATATGCATAAAGGTAGTAAATCCCCTGGATCTGATCAAGTGTACCCTAGAACTCTGTGGGAAGCTGGGGAAGTGATTATTGGGCCCCTTGCTAAGATATTTGTATCATCGATAGCCACAGGAGAGGTACCAGAAGGCTGGGGTTTGGCTACCATGGTGCCACCATTTACGAAAGGTGGTAAGGAAAGGCCAGGGAATGATAGACTAGCTAGCCTGACATCAGTGGTGGGCAAGTTGTTGGAGGGAGTCCTGAGGGACAAGAGTTACATGTATTTGGAAAGCAAGGACAGATCAGGGATAGACAACACAGTGTGGAGCTGGAGGAACACAGTAGGAACAGTACATCAGCTTTCCTGCTCCTCTGATGCTGCCTGGCCTACTGTGTTCCTCCAACTCCACACTGTGTTATCTCTGACTCCAGCATTGGCAGTTCTCACTATCTCTCAGGGATAGACAACACGGCATTGTGTGTCAGAAACCGTGTCTCACTATCTTGATTAAGTTTTTTGAAGAAGTAACGAAGAGGACTGATGAGGGCAGAGCGGTGGATGTGAACTATATGGACTTCAGTAAGGCATTCAACAAGGTTCCTCAGGGTAGACCGGTTAGCAGGGTTAGATCACATGGAATATAAGGAGAACTAGCCATTTGGATATAGTAGGAGACAGAGGGTGGTGGTTGAGGGTTGCTTTTCAGACTGGAGGCCTGTGACCAGCGGTGTGCCACAAGGATCGGTGCTGGGTCCACTGCTTTTTGTCATTTATATCAATAATTTGTATGTGAATATCGGAGGTACGGTTAGTAAGTTTGCAGGTGACACCAAAATTGGAGGTGTAGTGGACAATGAAGAAAGTTACCTCAGAGTACAACGGGATCTTAATCAGATGGGCCAATGGGCCAAGGAGTGGCAGATGGAGTTTAATTTAGATAAATGTGAGGCTTTGCAGTTTGGAAAGACAAATCAGGGCAGGATTTATACATTTAATGGTAAGGTCCTGGGGAATGTTGCTAAACAAAGAGACCTTGGAGTGCAGGTTCATAGTTCCTTCGAAGTGGAGTTGCAGGTAGATAGATAGGATAGTGTAGGAGGTGTTTGGTACGCTTGCCTTTATTGGTCAGTGCACTGAGTGTAGGAGTTGGGAGGTCATGTTGCAGATGTACAGTACATTGGTTCGGCCACTTTTGGAGTACTGTGTGCAATTCTGGTCTGCCTGTTATAGGAAGGATGTTGTGAAACTAGAAAGGATTCAGAAAAGATTTACAAGGATGTTGCCAGGGTTGGAGGGTTTGGGCTATAGACAAAGGCTGAATAAGTTTGGGCAATTTTCCCTGAAGCATCAGAGGCTGAGGGGTGACCTTTATCGAGGTTTATAAAATCATGAGAGGCATGAGTAGGGTAAATAGGCAAGATCTTTTCCCCAGGGTGGGAGAGTCCAAAACTAGACAGCATAGGTTTAAGGTGAGAGGGGAAAGATATAAATGGGACCTAAGGGGCAACTTGTTCACGCAGATGGTGGAGCATGTCTGGAATGAGCTGTCAGAGGAAGTGGTGGAGGCTGGTACAATTACAACATTTAAAAGGCATCTGGATGGGTGTATGAATAGGAAGGGTTTAGAGGGATATGGGTCAAATGCTGGCAAATGGGACTAGATTTACATAGGATATTTAGTCGGTATGGATTTGTTGGACTGAAAGGTCTGGTTCCGTGCTGGATATCTCTATGACTCTATGAAAGTGTGATCAGCCATTAATCAATTTAGGTGCAGAAATTCAGGACTGGTTTTAATTTGATGTAATATTAATTTTGGCATTGCAGTGTAAAATATTTAACTCTAAAATTTCTGCTTATAAATCCTTTCATGGACATGCCACTTATGTCTGTAACCTCCGCCGATGCCACAATCTTTCAAGTTCTCTCTGGACTCTTCCAACTTTGCCCAGGTTTCCCATCTGCATCAGCTCACCACCAGCAGCCATACTTCTGGCTCTTGAATTCACTCTTTTAATCCTCTCCCACCTCTCTCTCCTCTTTGTAGACTTTGAGAATGGTCTATATTTTCGACCCGACTTCAGTCACTGTCCTGATATCTCCTTAAGTGGCTCATCAAACCTTGTTTGATGATATTCCTGTGAAGTGCCTCAAGACACATTACTATCATCTAGAGGTCTTTAATATATGCACTTAATTGTGCCCAACAAACCATCTGGCATCTACCAGAAGCCATTCTCTAATAATGGAGATCCCTTCGATGTTCAGGTACAATCTAGTGCCGTTTTGCCCTCTGGAGTAGCTGAGTGCAAACTGAATTCTGGAAATTCCAGATAAAGACCTTGCATTTCTGAAGCATCTTTCAAGAACCCATGATTTCCTCATGTGCTCTCTAGCTGGTGAAGTGTAGCCACCACTGTAGGAAAAACAGCAGCCGATTTGCACTCAGCGAGCTCCCACAAAGAACAATGTGATAACAACTGGATCATTTGATGTGGTGAAGTGGAGCGAGGACTAAGTTTTGGCCAGAATCTGGGGAGAACCCTCCTGCTGTTCTTGGAAACATTGCCAACTGGTCAGGGCACATGGAGCATTGGTTTAATGATTCTCCTGAGGCACGGTAACTCCAACAGCATAGCACTCTCTCACTGGGACTATCAGCCTGGGATGCTGCTGTTCAAACCTCCCTGAAAACAGAGTGGGCAGGAGTTGCTCTGAATTTTTTTTTGTCAAATGCTTTTCAATCTTATTCCTGATGCATTACCCGTTTCTGGATATACTCGGGAAGAGGCTTCCTGTCAGAGTGAATACTGCGTGCTGTAGATTCCAGGTAGGCAAAGTATGGCTGGCACGTCTTCACAAAGATTGGCACGGCTCTTGCAAACTCCTCGTTGTGAATTCGATCTCTGCTGCAGGGAGGGAAACAGACTAAAGAACATCAATTAACAGACAGGCTAACCAATTGCAACAAAGCTGAGAATTTTCCAGGGAGGGGACTTTCACAGCATGCCCCATGCATTCGCCTTTAAACTCCCCATCCTCTTGTGTTCCATTTCATTCACTGTGAAGCAGGGGACCAACAGTCTATCTGCTTGACCGTACGTTTTAAGGAGCAAGCAGAAAACAGAGGAGTGAGAGAGAAAAGAAAGGCTCACTTAGCCTCAAATCAGGTAGAGAAAGAAGTGAAAACAGAGAAAGATTGTATTAAGAGAAACAGAAGGAAATATAAGAAAATATTTTAAAAATCACAAACGACAATTTACTACGTGTAGAATATGTAGGAATGAGGCTCTGTATTAGGCAGAAGGGTCTGATTCCATGTTGCACAACTCTATGACTCCAGTTCAGGGCAGGACAGTTTTATGGGTATTTGTAGAAATATATATTTCTATAGAAAGCTGCTTAGGCTATTACGTGGCTGCACCAATCTTCTGAATTTTTTAAAATGGTAATTGATAAGAAAACGCAACAACTTTGTGAAATGCACTGGGAGACCGTGGGTGAACTGTCATTCTTAGGAGGCCAAAGGCAGAGTGACACAAACTGTCCAGCAACTTGTGGTGATTTACAATTCACTGGGTAGCACTCTCTTTCACCAAATAGCACTGACTCATTTACTCATGGATAGCTGCCAGTGCCTTCAAACTGGTTCCAACATTAACAGCAAAATCTAGACCAACTATTAGATCCCATCATGGTTCTGATCATAAACCACATCTTGGCTGAATAGCCCTCTAAATCCAAGTCGAGAGGCAAAATTACAATCTGTGAGTCACAGACTTAGCGACAGAAGGATAGTACCAGCTGGCTGAAGACAAAATGATGAGGAATGGAACAGAATGGAATTGAGCTACACCTCTAAGGGGGAGTAAGAACAAACGTGAACTGAGCAATACCTGTACACCAGGTGGGTCTGGAATTCCTCTGCCTTCTTCAGCAGGTATTGAAGCTGCTGTTCTATTGGCTGAAGCTTCTCTTCCATAAGTGTGATATCGTACTGAGGTGCTTCACCCTCTGGCCCATGGGCCTGTTCCTCCTTCCCGTGCCGCAGTGGCGCAAAAATGGTGTTGTTTGTGACTGGTGCAGCAGAGGTCTGCGAAGCCTGCATGGTTGAAGAGCTGGAATAGGCCGGGGCAGGCATGAAGACCTGGTTCTCCTTTTTCTGTTTCTCTTGCATGGGCTGCCCCATCAACTGCTGCAATTCTGTTTCTGTCCAGTGAGATCCTTTCGGTTCTGTGTTGACAACATCCATCGAGCAGGAACATTTCAACTTGTCTCTCCTCTTGTACACCACAACGTCATGTCCATTAGTAACATTTTCCTCCATTCTGTATGTAACAAAGAAAGAATAGTTATCACACCACATCCAATAATACGCTCTTTGGACCTGAAGGTGGCTAGAAATGACGATGTTTATGTTGTTGACAAAGGGGCAGGAGGAGCAGGTGGGACAGATGGTGAGGGTGCCCTGAGCAAAATACAAAGGGAATGTTAATGTGAATAGTGGAGAGACGTGGATGCAAAATAGGTATTAATGGTCGGAGTGAATAGTAGAAAATGTCAGCTTTATTGAGAACAAACCCATGCAAACAAGACATGCAGCATAAAGAGTTGGGGTCAGAAAGGATATGTAACCAAAATGAAGGGCAGCGTTCATGATCTGAACTCAATGTTGTGTCCTGAAGGCTGTAAAGTGCCTAAGTGGAAAATGAGAAGGTGTTCCTCCAGCCTGCATTAGTAGGACTACTGCAGCAGACTCAGGACAGAAATGTTTGAATGACAGCGAGATGGTTTATTGAAATGGTGAGCAACGAGAAGGTCAGGGTCATTCTTACAGTCAGTGCACAGGTGCTCTGCAAAGCAGTCACCCAGTTTGTGTTTGGTCTTGGCTCTGTAAAGAAGACCACATTGTCAGCAGTTAACACAGTAGACCAGATTTAAGGAAGTATAAATAAAACTCTGCCTCAGCTGGAAGGTGTATTTGGGATGTTGGGCAGTAAGGAGGGAGGACATAACAGGGCAAGTGTTACCCCTTCTGTGATTGCACGAGAAGATGCCACGGTGAATTGGGAAAGCATTAGGATGATGGAGGAGTGGACCAGCTGGTTGTGGAGGGAATGGTCCTTGTGGAGCACTAACAAGGGATGGAAGGTATGTTTGGTGATGACATCCCATTGGAGTTGGTAAACAGGGTGAAAGTGACTATTTGTGTTTTCCTTTTGCTCATATTTCACCCCCACCCGTCTCCACATTCTACCATTTGTGTTCTAGGAAGGAGGGAAAAGGGGTGAGGAGCACAAAGTGCGAGAGATGGTCAGATGTCGCTGAGGGTCCTGTCAACCACAGTGAAGGAAAAATTGCCATTTGAGGAGTAATAAAAACAGGCACCCTGTGAACGGTGGCATCTATAGGACAGGTGTGACTGAGATGGAGAAACAGAGAGATTAGAGTGGGGATCCGTGCAGGATGTCAGGACATGTAGGCGAGCTAACTGTGGTGGTGGTGGTGGAGTGGGATTTGTAGTGGATCTTGGTGAACAGCCAACCCCAGAAATGAAAACAAACACATCTGGAAGGGAAAGAAATAGTCAGAACTGAAGGCGAGAGAAGGATGGAAATTAGATGCAAAACTGCCAAACTTTTCCAATGCCAGACGAGGGAAGGAAATCACATTAATCATAGAATCCCTACAGTGTGGAAGCAGGCCATTCAGCCCTTTGAGTTCACACTGATCCTTCAAAGAGCATCCCACCCAGACCCATCCTCCTAACCCTGCATGTCCCATGGCTAACACACCTACCCTACACTTTCCCTGAACACCATGGGCAGTTTAGCATGGCCAATCCACCCTAGCTTACACATTTTTGGATGTCATTGATGGACTGGAGAAAGAGTCGTGGGAAGGAGGTACAAGTAGGACTGGAACAAGAGTGTACCATAAACCCAGTAAAGAGACAGACATAACTAGGACCCATGTGGCTACCCGTAACTACACATTTGACTTGGAGAAAGTGAGACAAGTTAAAGGAGAAATAGTTGATGGAGAATGAGCTCAGCCAGGTGAAAGAAGGAGATGGCGGATGGGAACTGCTCAGGCCCCTTCTCAAGGAATGCTTGAAGAGCCTTCAGACCATTCTGATGGGGGATGGACATATTTAGAGATTGCCCTGTCCATTGTACAAAGGAGGCAGTTGGGCTCAGGAAGCTGGAAATTATGGAACTGACATAAAGCATCAGAAGAATCACGACTGTAAGTGGGAAGAGACTGGACAAAAGGGTTAAAATAGAGTCACGATAGGAAGAAATTAGTTCAGAAGGGCAGGAACTGGCTGAAACGATTGGTCTGCCAGGGCAGTCCTATTTGAGGGTTTTGGGGAGAAAGTAAAAGTGGACTATGCGGGTTTGGAATTACTGTGAGATGGGAAGACATTAACTGTATCTCCTGTAGAGATTTCCCCTCAATGACAGTGCCAGAGTCAAAAGCTGGCTATTTAATGGTGGGAGCTACAATTACAATATTTAAAAGGCATCTGGATGGGTACATGAATAGGAAGGGTTTAGAGGGATATGGGCCAAATGCTGGCAAATGGGACTAGATTAATTTAGGACATCTGGTAGGCACGGACTGAAGGGTCTTTCCCACTCTATGACTGTTAGATCCCTATGGCCCTCTGGGGTTAATTATTTACATCTGCCATTTCTCCAGCTGACTGGGTTTCCCTGTTTATCTGCCAGTCAATTCACCTGATGTGAAAGGATGAATTTGGGACATGACATACTTCCAAAATATTAGCAACAGGGTGGATGCAAAGTTACAGTGTCTGGCACGTTAATTCAAAAACAAGGCGAGGGTGTCATTTCATCTACATCAGAAAATATAGCTCCAAATAAATGGACGTATAGTTACAAGTAACTAAAAATTTAAGTACATTTTGGAAAGTAGTCTATGCGAATTTTTAAAAAGATTATGGTACACAAAGTTAAAGCAGAAACAGATCTCTCACCAAACTGATTCTGAAACAGAGAACATTTTTCAAACTTAGGAACACTCGCACGGATTCTATCAGTTACTGCTGTGTATTTTCAACAAATCCTTTATGACTTTTTTTTCCCAAACTTAAAATGAGTAGCTTCTGTTTACAATGTAATTTATCTTATTGGGGCAAATAGATTCGTCTTAAAACACGAACGAACATTAAATAAGGATGAGGATTTAGAAAACTTTATGTCAAACATAAATAATTGACCAGAAAAACTAACCTTTCTTTTGCAACTGAAAAGAAAAGAAAATATCTCAGGGATGGCAGATTGGGAAATCTTAAAACTTGTAACAAAATAATAAAAATGTTTGGGTGACGTTTTTAAAAATATACAATAGGAAGTTATAATATTTTTAATTTCGGCAAACTAACCCTTTTTCTTATTGGGGAAACATTAGCATGTTGAATTTCTGCAGAAGCAACTTTTTATAATACCGAAAGTGTTGTAAAAGTTTGTTTTGCTTACGATTATTAAAAGCTGTCTATCTGAGATCCAGCCTCCTCCCTGCGGCTCCGGTTCAAATATCAACACAGGCGCGCACCCAGCGAGCAGCTCCGCGGACACGCGCGCCAGGCAGGTTTCAATTCAGAAAAGGCGCGCGTTACCCGGGGAACAGTGCACGCGCTCCGAGCCGAACTGCCTCCCTTCCCCTCCCCCTCAAACAGGGTTGCGGTCATGGTTGGGAATTTAGACTAAAATTGGACATGAGATTGGGAATTTGGGTTAGTTTGGGTCTGAGATTGGGGTCAGGATTGGGAATTTAAGTTAAACTGGGAATGAGATTGGGAATTTGGGTTAGTTTGTGTCTGAG